GGAAGTACAATTCAAATGGTAGGCTACCAGCCTGGGACAGCACCCAGACCCTCAGTTTAAGCTTCAAGATCTGCACACACACACACACACACACAGAGCAGAAGAAATCAAGCATGTTGCTTGGTTTGCTGTCCACAATGGAAGGAAGGCACCAGAGGACAGACAACAGCTTAGGCCTCTGTCTCCAGCCTCTAGGACAGAAGGCAGAAGCACTGGGATTACTCATCACCAACTATGCTGGGCTGATAGCCACACAACTTCAAGGGTCCAGGGGCTCACTAATCTCAGGGCAGAGAAGGAAGCTGACAGGCTCACGAGGTTTGAGGACCTTGGCCTGGAGTTGAACACTCAATCCTGGGTCAAAGTTTGCATGGCTTTGCGTGAGAAACTCTTTGGCTAGGATTCCTTTAGTGATCCTGATCAATACCAGGAGCTCAAGGACAGGGACACAGAGGAGAGGGGAGGGGAGAGGGCTGAGGGGCCAGAGGCAGGGGGGAGGGGCTTCTTAATTGAGAGCTGGTGGTTCACACCTGTCATCCTAGCTACTCAGGAGGCTAAGATCTGAGGACCAGAGTTCAGAGCCAGCCCAGGTAGGAAAGTCTCCACAAAGCAAGTGTGTCTCAAGTTGTAAACCGCTAGGCTTGAACACAAGATCTCAGAGACAGCACTCAGGCCCTGAGTTCAAGCCCCAGGACCTACACACACACACACTGAGCCACCTTCCCAGCCCTCTATTTTTTTTTTAACCAGGATTTTCCCCTAAACACAATCCCCCGATCTCCACCAATCAAAGGGCTAGGGTTATGGGTTTCAGATGACAAGCCTAGCTTGCATTGCACTTATTTATTTTATTGTCAAGGTGATGTGCAGAGGGGTCACAGTTACATTAGTAAGGTAGTGATTACATTTAATTTCTTGTCTAACTTGTTACCCCCTCCCTCCCTCATTTTTCTCTCCCTTTCCCACCTTCCCCAATCGCCCCCCACCCCCAGCAAGTTGTACAGATCATTTCCAACTTGTGATTATCCATGTCTGCATTGCACTTTTTTTTTTTTTTTGATCACTCACGGGGCTTGAACTCTGGGCCTGGGCACTGTCCTTCAGCTCTTCAGCTCAAGGCTAGCGCTCTGCCACTTGAGCCACAGCACCACTTCCAGCTTTTTCTGCTTATGGGGTACTGAGGAATCAAATCCAGGGCCTCATGCATGCAAGGTAATATTCTACTACTGAGCCAATTTCCCAGGTGTGAACTTTTATTTTTTAATAGAACCCCATGAAAGGAGGTCACAGGCCTTTTATATGAAACCTCATCCCAAAATAACAGCACTAATCCTCTAAGAACAAAAATATATGCCCAAATATTCATAATGATAGGTAATATTGTTCACACTTCAAGCATGTCACTTAATCTCCAGTCACATTCAAATCTTCTACTTACTTACCCAGATATCTCTTCTACATTAAAAAGATCTGTTGAGCCAGGCACTAGTGGCTTACACCTGTAATCCTAGATACACAGGAGGCTGAGATCTGAGGATCGCTGTTCAAAGCCAGCCCGGGCAGGAAAGTCTGTGAAACACTTATTTCCAATAAACCACCAAAAACCCGGTAGTGACACTGTGGCTCAAGTGGTAGACCGCTAGCCTTGAGCTGAAGAGCTGAGGGAGAGCACCCAGGCCCAGAGTTCAGGCACATGACTGGACCCCCACCCCCCAAAAAAATGAAATGCACTATGTGAATTTGAGTAGATTCTGCATTTACAACAACAACAAATCTTTTTGTGTGTGTGGGTCTTGGGGCTTGAACTCTGGGCCTGGGTGCTGTCCCTCAGCTCTTCAACTCAAGGCTAGCACTCTACCACTTGAGCCACAGCACCACTTCCAGCTTTTTCTGCTTATATGGTGCTGAGCAATGGAAACCAGGGCCTCAAGCATGCAAGGCAAGCACTCTACCACTGAGCCACCTTCCCAGCTCTGCATTTCCTTTTTCCTTGACGGACAGGCAGTGTGGGAGGTAGAAGGCTTGAACTCAGGGTCCTGGGCTCTTGCTTAACTTGTCCATTTCAGGGCTAGCACTCTACCCCTTCAGCCACACCTCTACTTCTGCCTTTTGGTGGCTTATTGAATAAGAGTCTTACAGGGTTGGGAAGGTGGCTCAGTGGTAGAGTGCTAGCCTTGAGCTGAAGAGCTGAGGGACAGCGCCCAGTCCCAGAGTTTAGGCCCCACAACCCACAACAACAAAAAAACAGTCTCACAGGCTTTCGTGCTCCGGCTGTCTTTGAACTACAATCCTCAGATCTCAGCCTCCTGAGTAGCTAGGATGACAGGCATGAGCCACCAGCTTCCGGCTACAGCACAAATCTTTATTTTTATTTTTTGTGGTTCGTGGGCCTTGAACTCTGGGCTGGGCGCTGTCCCTCAGCTCTTCAGCTCAAGGCTAGCACTCTACCACTTGAGCCACAGTGCCACTTGTGGCTTTTTCTGCTTATGTGGTGATGAGGAATCGAACCCAGGGCCTCATGCATGCAAGGCAAACACTCTACCACTGAGCCACCTTCCCAGCCCCAGAGAGCAACAATCTTGAATGAAAAAGTCCAAGAGAGGGCAAGGTGCTGAGCACCATCACACATGTGTAAGTGTGCACACGCAGGCATACACGCACATATCTGGATCAGCCCACAGGCCTAATTTACACACCCTCAGCACCCTGTCCTGACACCTAGCCTGGTCCCTGAGAAACTGGACATTCATCCCCAGGGACCCACAGTGCCTTGTGGACCTCTTCCTGAAGAGCTGAGGGTAGCTGAGGTTCAGCTGAGAGAGGATGGCCCAAAGCCAAGGATTGACCTTGCCAGGTTGACGTCAGCTGACCACAGAGCTGGGCCAAACCAAAAGGGGGCGAGATCTATAAAAGGCTTCTGCATCCGAGACCCAGAAGAGCCAAACCAACCTGCAGCCCTGCTGATCTCGGTGCACCTGTTTTCCACAGGTACCTTTCTAGGCCTGCTCTTCTGTCCCTGGGGTTTCCTGCTTATATCCTGGGAACTA